TGACCTACTTGCCAGTGCACACCTTCGCCCACAGGCTCATGTTACATATACAAAATTCCTATTTCGATAAAATTGTCCCGGATCTCGTTTTGCTTTATAGCTCTGCCTGAAGGTTCTTAGATGAAAAATTTATTATGGCCAACGTTTTGACCGCCCTGTCGTTTCCAATAGCTAAGTTTTCACCAGAAGGGCGGAAGTGGTGTAGTGGCAAGTGGCACGCTTACCACGCGAGCGGTCCGGGGATCAAATCCTGGGTCGTGAGTCGCCCGGGCCAACCAAGCCTTCCATCCCTCCGGGGTCGGTTAATTGGTACCAGACTTGTCTGGGAGGATAAAAACACTGACTTGTACATCGGCTGGCCCCCGCAAGTCATTGTATAGGCCACATCGCATTCAAATGTACAAATGGAAGTAGAATGCGTGCCGCATCCCAAAAAGGGATTGATCAACGGCAAATGCTTTATCCTTTATCGTTTAAGTTTCCACCGCGAAGTGGTGTAGCGGCAAGAGGATCGGCCTATAAAAATGACTCAAAGTTGGAACCGGAGCAATTTTTTTTGAAGTCGGCCTTTAACCCTTTCCGGACCGCCTGACACCCATGGGGTGTCAGGCCCAATTTGCTCTCTGTGGCCGCCTGACACCCATGGGGTGTCAGGGACTTCAAGAGGTGATTTTTCGGTTTTTCGACAAGGTGTTTTATGTTATTAATTATCTATGTAACATACTCATATCGTACGTATGAAAAAACCTGAACTTCAATCTCAAACTAGCTCCTAAACATCTAAAACTAAATGGACTTCCACTTTGAGTTCAAAGAAAACAGTTATAATTTATTTGAAAACACTTCATACAAAATATTCTATGACATCAAGTGCACGCCTTATCTGATGCTATTATATGCAAACGTTTCCGACACTTTCTGGTGCCTTTTTCCCATTACAACTTGTTTTGAACAATTCTCATTCCTACCTCCCTTTTTCACTTTTATTACACGACGGTTTTCTGTCATATTCACACATATGTACCTTTAAACATCGCAAATACAAGAACGAGGCAAAATAATGGTTTTAATGGAAATACAGGTGAAATATATGGTATTTATGCTCCGAGCAGCCCGCGGCGATGAGCATAAAAAGGCGTCGGCCACACGCGCCCGCCACGGGAAAAGTGCGCGGTCCGGAAAGGGTTAAAAACGACGGGACAGTCGGGACCGTGCCATTGTAAACTTTCCATCTAACAACCTTGAGGCAGAAGTATAAAGCAGAAACAATATCGAAAATACCGAGGTTTCAAGATGAGAAAACATGGAAGCTGTCCGGGATCTTTCCATAAACAAACACGCACACATCTACGATTCTGCATGGATGGTTATGGAGCGGCTTATGCAACGATTGAACAACAGCACACACATGATTGTGTTTTGACTTAAAGGCAGTGGCCACGATGGCCGCAGGACGTTGCGGTTGACGTCACTGAAGGGAAGGTCATTGGTAGAAAAAACACCTAATTTACATATTTTTGATATTGAAATGATTAACCTCTGAAAGATTACCAAAATACTTTGCTACA